GGGACTAGTTATAATTGCATAATTGCATGGAAGCGAGGTAAGTAATGCCTTATTAGTAAACAAAGTCTACTCAGTACAATCTTTTGCGTTTAATTYATTCATCTCAACAATTCGAGTTCTTTTAAGCGTCTTTAGAAGTAAGGGTTAATGACTTTGACACAAAATATCGTATTGAGTAGACTTTGTTTACTAATGAGGCCTTACTTACCTCGCTTCCATTCAATTGTCCCTAGTCCCAACCGAATTTGTCGGCTATTTTTGATTTAAAATCAAAGAAGCTTTAGCCCGGTATCAGGCAAAAATATATTTAAACGCGTGCGAATATTTGTCAAAAACGCTCTAAAATAAATCGAATATTCGAATATTCGAATATTCGATACTTCAATGCTAACCATTTCCATGACTACTTCTTAGTAAGTTTTTGCTTTGTTTTTGGGTGACAATCAATCATAATATATATATATAAAATGACAAAGCTGGAGTTATTTTTTTGACTCGTGAAAGCCAAAAACCCAGACGTTTCAAAGTTGTGGAAGTTGCTGTAGACCCCATGAGAAACATTGTAATATAGAAGTCTCTCGTAACGTTACAGCATACGTCACTAAAATCACGTGATTATTTCGTCAGCATCAGTTTGGTATTTTCTTGAGCTTGATTTTTTCGCGCTCCTCAACCTCTCGGAAGACATTCATGTCGGGTTTCAAGCAATTGCGAAGTTTCTAATTAAAAAAAAAAAAAGATGAATGAATGGGGGAAAAAACACGAAAAAAAATTTTTTTGTTTCTCGTGTTTTTACGAGGATAGTTCTAGTATCAAATTGGAACTTAGCAGTTGGTTTTTGCAGAGGGAGAAAAACCGGCGGGAGAACCTGGAGAAAAACCCTCGAAGCACAGGAAAGTACCAACAAACAACTATACTCCCATACACGACGCTGAGCCTAGGAATCGAATCTGGGTCGTATTGATGAGAGGCGAGCGCTCACACCTCTACGCCACCCGTTCTTCATCAATTAAAAAGAAATAGATGATTGACTTCTATCCTCTAGTTCCTATTATCCATTCTCCCATTCCCATCTATTCTTTCTTCTCTTCATTATTCACTAACYTCAATGAAAGTAGGGCCTTTGGCATAGTAGAATTGGATTCCTGCGAAGACCGGGATGAGAGTCATTGAAGCGAAAGCGAGTAGCCAACCAATGAACTCAGCCCAGTCTGGGTACGGCTTGTTGTTGTAGCTGATTCCCTTCCACAAGGCGAGTTGCGCAATGATAATACCCTTGAAAGATGACAAAATAATTCTATTTCAGGGGTTGTTACACCATATTTTCATCTAAAACAGTTGATAGATAGATAATTTGTAATTATTTGCCAATAATTTGGTTTACTCCGATGAAGGACTAACGTCCGAAACGTCAGTTTYATTTTTACATACCATACGGTGTTACAAATTATCTATCTATCAACTGTTTTACTGAAAACACCGACGCAGTTTACGCTAGTTTTCACTAGTTTTCCACCTTATATATTTTCATCTACTTTACTAATTATCCATGCTAACTCGAGCTCCATGCACACAACCTTATTCTCACAGGGGAGGGGAGAATTGCTTTCGCATCACAGGGGAGGGGGGAACCACTTTCGCTTCACAGGGAATGGGGAACCACTTTCGCCTCACAGGGGAGGGGGGAACCACTTTCGCTTCACATGGAATGGGAAACCACTTTCGCCTCACAGGGGAGGGGGGAACCACTTTCACTTCACAGGGGAGGGGGAAGCCACTTTTCGCTAACATGGGAAAAGTAAGTAGCTTCGATACCTACCAGGGTGAAGATGGGTGAAAGGTATTTCCAACAGATCAGGAAGTACGCATTAGGTCTTTTGCCAATCATGGACTCAATCATGTCACCAAGAAGATCGGTTCCTATGCAAGAAGATATAACAAGCCATGTCATTCTACTGTGTAGAACTCTTTTTCTTAAACGTTTTTCTTCTTTGGGCAAATGAAATATGCTGTCATGTAAAAAATTGTTCGCTGCAATGTTCCTGCCTTCAACATGGCCGTGAAACCACTCAATATAAAGCAACTTTTCACGCAGAATAAGTGAGTTTAAAACCTATACATAGGAAGCTAGGATGGTACAGTTTAGAACTTGTTATGTATATCGTATGGAATGATTTATAATGTGCACTCAATCAGTTGACTCAATGGCTAGTCAAATGCACRAACTGACGTGCAGCAGATCAAAGATGGTCTGGATGGGCTTGACTGACAACTGACAATTGCAAATGCCATAAAATTTAACTGACAAAAAGCCTGAAATTTTCTCTTTTACTCCGACGAAGGACTAGCGTCTGAAACGTCAGTAAGTGTTTTCRCGGTGTATAATTTACCCTTTTATCATTACTGTGAAATTTAACTGACAACAACTGACATTTGGACACCCCCATCCAGACCGTCATCAATCACTCCAGACACCTAATAAGGAATGGATCATCATGATCATGTCTTACCAACACACCATCCAATGACCAAAGCTTCAAAGAACCCAATCACTAATAGGGACACTCCGCCTGACTGGTAATCAAACAGGTTGAACACGTACATGCCACCCTGGAAAACAGAAACAAAACGGAGTGTAAAATACTCGATGGATGGTCAGTGACTTGTCTTGTATGACGTGAATATAGCGAGAAATAATACACGACAGATTCATTCAGTTACCCCCTTGTGTAGCCGTACCGTATTTTACTGTAATAAACCATGTGGTTACAGGGGCGGATCCAAGAGGGGTGCTGCGGGGCACCGTACACCTTCTCCCCTCCTTACGCCGTARTTACTCTTCTGCGATTTTGAAGCAAAACAATCTCTATAACATATAGATGTTTTCATTTGGGAGACCCCCGAAAAAATTTCTGGATCTGCACCTGGATTACTTGCGCGYATGAAGACAAATTATTCCAGCTTTACGACTAGTTTTACAGCGTGTTTGCGTGCTATGAATCTGCATAGTCTTACTTCTCACTAATACTTCTATGATTGTACATCTCTAAATGGGTACATTTTTCAGGCCTAACCAACATATYCCTATCATGTCGCGTTTCAATTTTACTGCGCATTATTGAAAAAAAGAGTCAAAATATTTCTAAATTGTTCGATATTATTTTATATTGTGCAATGACGGGATAACAGAAAAGCCTTTTTTTAACTAAGTGTTCTTCCTGGTGGCTCATGCTGATGGGGTACTTTCCTTTGGCATAAATTTGGCGCGAAATTTCCCGCAAAAACGCGCGCGTGCGCGGCCCATTAGGAAAAACAAACGGTTCAATAGTCCCCTTCATAGTTCCCCGCGCCATCTTGAAAGGTAGCCGTACCTTTGTATCRAAGCGATACGAACGGTGAGCTTGCAATAATAGAGACCTTTTGTTAACACCTTGGACAATTATTCACATGTCTCTATCATTGCAAGCTCACCGTTCGTCTCGCTTCGATRCAAWGCCACGAYTACCTTTCAAGATGGCGCGGGGAACTATRAAGGGGAYTATTAATAGTGTTCATACCTCTGCACACATGGGTAGTGCAAGTAGGAAAAGCAAAACACACATGAYGATAAGAAATATCCATTTGTATTTTCGGAGATACTTGGGATATTCATCTGAAAGTCCTGTGATGACACATTCAACCATAGCAAACTGAATAAGAGAAAATAGGTATCAAAATCATCAAAAAAATATAAAACCAATGGTACTGTTAACCGTGTCTTAAAGTCACTTGATCACTGTTATACCTGGCTGTCAAGACCAAGAGTGATCAACATGAAGAAGAACAAGATTGCCCATAAGGTTGACACAGGCATCTGAGATATGGCTTCAGGATACGCTACGAAAGCAAGTCCCGGTCCTRAAAAATACCAAGGAAAAAAAATACTTTACATGATGTACAAGGATTGACATGTTGAACGACACGTTACTCACCGTCATCAACTACTTTATCTACTGATGTTTCCAGGATGAACGCCATGAAACCCATGACACTGAAGATGACAAAACCAGCRAAGAAACTTGTGCCACAGTTGATAAGACACACTATTATGGCATCCCTGTTGAATGAAAAAAACTTGTCACGAGACAGCAAACATAACCAATCAGTAAACGCCACAATATCACATGACTATCGCGACCAATCACATTTCATGTCAACGACAGCCAACGTAGCCTCGGAATGAAAAAACCYTTGTGGGTGCTAGAGAAGCATAGATCTCGTAAGTGGGCTATCGMAACCAAGAAACTAAGGAAGGTGGATGTATCAAAGCTATGATGAGAAAGGGCAGACACACAACGCCTTTAGGTGCTAAATTTCCAGTGTCAAGCGTTTAATTTTCTTATTTTCGATTCTCTTACCTTTGAACGTTRTTATTAAATTTGTTGTAACTACCAAACGTGATGAGCGAGCCAAAACCCACACCAAGGGAGTAGAATATCTGGGTAGCGGCGCGAACCCAAACCTGTAACCCAAGAATACATGCAATATCAAAAATAGGCCTTCCACGTGATGGGTGTAGTTTTTCTTAAGGCAGGCTATAGACTTCTGTTCAYATGTTTGAAACTGTTATTTTGTACCTCAGGATTTGCCAGCTTTTTGAAGTCAGGGTTGACGTAAAACAACACGCCTTCCTTAGCTCCCTCAAGGGTGACTCCACGGAAAAACAAGATCAAAAGGACTATGTATGGAAATGTCGCTGTAAAATACACAACCTAAAAAATAGAAAAAAATATACATATCATAGATATTACTTGCTTTAGAGGCATGGTCT